TGTCTAGTATTTTCTCTATGTTTGTTCTTCATGTCTGTCTAATATATCCTGCTCTTTCTCTGAAGTTTTCATCTTTATCTCCTTTGCTTTCTTCCTATATATTCTTCTATTATCTTACCCACATTTTCTTCTATTTCTGTAAATTATAGGATAATTTTGGGTGTACTATTAGTAATTCTACATTAATAGGCATTTTGGGTATACCATTTTTCTGCAAACTACTTGTCTTTAAAAAGAAAAAAACAAAAAAAACATAGGTCACACCCTAATCGTCACTACTGCTTCATCTTTCAACTTCATTCCACCATTGAGTCATAACCACCATAGAAGCAAAACAGAGACCTTCAAAAGTCATCTTGCGGGAGCCTCGTTGTCTGTTGTGATCAGAAACTCTCATATGCATTGCGCTAAGCCCTCCCGTCACAGCTGCTTTAGTTTCTATGATTGTCAATCAAATCATCATCATTCAACTCCATAGCTGGGAAAAAGGAGCCGCTTATCTACCTCCCGCTGAAAGCTTATTATGTAATGGTTACTGTAAAACCACATGTTAATTGCATGCACCAACTTCTACGAGTGAAATTGGCCTAGTTGAGCCATTTGAGCTGAGCTATTCTTATTCAGGTGGGTTGAGTCAAATCTTGAGCATCTAAGTAAATAAGCTTTTGAGATTGGAATTTCTATGTAAGGTACTTGTTAAATATGATATTTTATTTTATTATTTAATTAGTTGGGTATTATGTAATCAGAATTTTAATAGAATAGTAATATCATATAATTAGTATTCTAATAGAATAGTTATTTCTTAATTAGTAGATTAAGAATTCTTTAAATATCCCAGATATAACAATTTAGAGGATGAGAAATAAAATTATTATTTTTTCTCTAAAAATCTATATGATATTAGAGACGAATAAAACTATTTTAAAGTTTTAATTTTGAGATTTCCTTAAAATTCTAAAATAACACAATAGTTTAAGTTGCTACCCACTTATCAAAATCTACTCTTATCATCACCCCAAACGGTGTCATATACTGATCAGCGGCCTTAATCCAACGTCGTTGGCCGTCAGCAGCTGCAGCAAAGGAGGAAGCCGAATCTATGAATGTGCCGCTCGGGGAACAACCAAACCTACGCCCAACCATGACACCAGAAGGTTGTGCGACGGGCAGAAGATCGAGCAACGTTCAGAAGAAGATCTGCACGGCCAGAAGTGGAGGAGCTGTAATGTTTTTGGCTCTGCGCGCGAAGAGACAACCAGAGAAGAGGAATCAGAGACGGATCTGCAATGTCTGTCCTCGTTTGTGCACAAAACCAAAGCCGAAGAAGACGAACCAGCGTGGCGGCGGCCAGATTGCGAGAAGCTCGATCCGGGGCGTTTATGGGTGATCGGCTCGATCTCCTAGATCTGTGCTAGATTTAGAGTCGTTAGCGTTTTCTGTAGTGTTTCGGTGATTTCCAGTGGGGACGTGTGGCGGCCAGTGGCGGTGTGTGGAAGTTTCGGCGGAGGCGCGTGGTGGTCCGGTTGAGGTGCGTGAGACTTTGGTGGTTTCGCAGAGTGGGGTTTTCGATATTGGCACATTCCGGTTTTCAGTGGTGGCGCGTGGTTGTTCGATGACTGGGCGTTCATCGGCCTATGGCGGCTCTTGAGAGCTCATAAAATATTTTGTTGGTGTCTGAGCCGTTTTAGAGTCGAGCCCAGGCTGTTTTAGAGCCGAGTTAGAGTCGTTTATAGTCAGGCTGAGTTATTTTGAGTCGGGCTGAGCTGTTTTGAACCGATCCGAGCTATTTTGAGTCAAGTCAAACGAGTTACTATCAGAAAGATCTGGTTCCAGTTTGCAAATTAGTCTACAAGTTGGGCATGAGATATCGCTGCAGCAATTTGAGTGGGGGTGTTGAATATAATATTTTATTATTTTAATTCATTATTTAATTAATTTGGTATTATGTAATTAGAATTCTATTAGTCTTATACTCTCATGATGCTAAGATTCGAGTACAATAGTTATTTCTTAATTAATAGATTAAAAATTATATGAATACGTTAAGTGTAACAACTTAAAGAGTGAGAAATAAAATCATTATTATTTCTGAGAAAATGTACGGTACTACATTTCGCTTTTTGATTATTACGTCTTATCCATTATCTAACATTA